CTTATCGTACTACTTCAACAGCTGCCCATCAGATTCTAACTGGCCTTCCTCCACTTTCCCCCCTGGTACAGGGAGAAGCAACAATAGCCAATGTACTTCGACTTCAAAAGCCCCAAGAATTATGGAATCATCACTTTCACCCACACGACTATGAATTTCAACAATCTAATGATGTTTGTCATCCAGCATCATTCGATCTTCAATAAAGCATCTTCATTAAAACATCATATCTCTAGAATTCTGATTTTCAAATTTACACAGATGGTTCATAAATGTCTTCAGGAATAGGAAGTGGTCTCTCAATATGCTTATATACTTGGAGCAAATGCCTTTCAATTAAAAATTCAGTTTACCAAGCTGAGTTGATTGCAATATGCAAAGCAGTTCAACTGGCTCTTTCGCTAAATTCAATTCAAAAATTTACAATAAATATTTCAGATTCTGAATCAAGTTTGCAAGCAATAATAAATGTTTTTCAATAAAAATCCGCTAGTTCAAGAAATACAACAACTTTTACTACGCCTTCCTGCTTCCCAATGCCCAAACTTTGTCTGGGTCAAAGCACATCACGGTATCTTATTTAATGAACTAGCGGATCAACAAGCCAACGCGGCAGCTCAAGCAGTAGAATGTCCTATCTATGTTCATCCTCTTCCTTCTTCTTATATTAAAAAATTTTAATGGAAATTTCTTTTGACAAAGCGGCAAGAAGAATGGATTTCTGGTACAACTGGTCGAAGAACATATAAATTTGTTCCTATAGTCTCATTAAAATTACATTCCGTTTCTTCCTTGGTTACCTGGTTTGCCACAGGAATGGCCCTTTCAAGAACTACCTTCATCGCTTTGGATTAAGTTAATTTTTGCGAGTGTGGAAATATTGCCGATACCGATCATATCATTTTTCAATTGTACTCATCATGTGCAAGCTCTTCTTAAAGCTCCATCCAAACAATTTTAGCCACACTGGTTCAAAAATTTAGTAAATTACAAATTAAGCCTCAGCCAACTAGACAAAATAATTTCACACTGCAACTCTTCAATACTTACTGTTTCCCATAGCCAGATGTAGAGTCTATTCTTCTTTTTAATGTTAAGTGTTCATTTTTTAATTCGATAGGATTTTTAAACTGTTTAATTCTATTTTTGTTCAACAATAGCATTGTTCTTTTCAATATTTTTTTTAAATTGTTCTAATTTTCAACATCAGAGTTCTGTAACTTTGCTAGAGATATTAAAGTACACTGCTCAAAAAAAAAAAAAAGGGGGGGGGGACAGTCCTATATCTCCGATCTACTGGGCCGATTGACAAAAATTCAAATTGCGTTCTTCATGTCTCGAAAAAGCGCGACTTAGGATATATATTATATTTTTTATATAGCACTATTCTAACATAGGTATTTTGACACAAAATCGGACATTTTCTGAAATAACATAACAATTTTTTTACCTATTTCGATTCTACGACTCAAATTACGCCTAAATATAAAATTTTGTAAAATTTGGAGCGAAATTTATGGAGAAATTCACAAATTTATGTTGGCACTTTTTTATCAGTTTGCGCGAATAATACTTCACTTGGCGAACTTCTTAATATATGGCAACCTAGTTTCCTTTCCCATGAGAGGAAAAAAAGTCACCATCGTTCCTTTTTTCCAAATAATATTCTTTATATTATATTTTAATTATAACTTATTATTTTTAAGTAATTTTTTCTTTTTCGAATTTCATTTTTAATTGTTTAAGTTGCACGTTTTTTTTTTTTTTTTTTTTTTTTTTTTTTTTTCCCCCCCCCCGAATAACTGTTTTATTTAAAAATTTCTGTTTTACCTATTCGAAACTGCGTAAATAAAGGTGCAACGTTTATTTTTTTCAAATAGTTTTCTTTATATATATTTTTCGTCATAGTTATTATTTTAGGTAATTTTTTAAATTTTTTTTATACTTTTATTTTAATTGTTTTGTGTTGCATTGTCTCTTCAGATAATTGTTTTAAAATTTTCTATTTATTCCTTCGAACTTCATTTTAAATATATTTATTAATATCAATTTTCCAGAATTTGATTTTATTTATTTGAACTGAACTGCGTTTCTTTCGGAAGAAAACTTTGTAACCCAGACTACGATGAGTTTGAAAACTGCATACTATATTAAAAGAGAAAATACAGTAAAGCACAGTTTTTACACGCCTTTCAATGTTCCGTTTCAGAAAAAGATATATATAAATAAGAGAGATGCATAACCGACATTTTAACTTAGGATGACTTGCATACACTGCTTTAAACAGTTTTATCATTGTGCCCCATTGCTTTTTTACACAATTTTATCCTACATTTGGTTTCTTAAAATGTTATTCATATTTTAGTCAAATATTTTATTTTTGAAATCGCAAGAATCAAATATCATAACATTGAAAAGTTTTAAATTTAAAAAATACAAATACTAAATTTTATGAAAAATTTATTTTTCTTCTCTTTTTATATTAAAAAGTATCCAACTTTTCGAAACATTTTGGTATTTCTGAAAACGGCTGAGCGGTAAAGACGCTGATCACTGGTAGTTCGGTCCGAGGTTCGAATCCCGCGAACGGGCTGGTTGCATGGGTGTTTTCGTGGTTTTCCCGATGTGTAATGTGTATACAAGCCAGTTTCCCTTAGAAAGTCCTCCACGAAGGCATCCCTCCCTTTAGGCAGATAGCCCTCGTGTGCTTTGCCGTAATTAAATAATCCAATCCAATCCTTAATTAAATATAATTGATTTGTAACTTCTACCAGAACTGACATTAAGAACTGAAGTGCAAATAAATAATTTCATGTGCAATCTTGATTAATATAAAATTTAAAATATTTGCGTTCAGACAAAGTTTTTTGAAATATTTGCAATTACTTTATAAGAAGGATTTATTAATAACTGTAATAATTACTTATTATATTACTGATGATTAGGAATCAGTTCTTGACAATTACATTCTAAATTAGAATTTTAAGAATTATTAGAATTTTAAATTAGAATAATGAAAATACGCTACACACAAAAATACATTTTTTGATAAAAAAATGAGTTGATTTTTTATGTTTTAAAACTTCTTGAATTCATTTAATAAACATCGTATCCTCGTTGTTAATTGAATTCAGAATGTTGGGTGTCATTTATATAATTATTCTTACTTGTCTACGGAATCTGCTGACTTATCCAGCGATTAAGTAGCTGCAGATCATTTCTACATAACCATTGAACTTCCATTAATTCAGTCTCTTAGAGGTTTGCATATTTATATCATAATTTGACTTATAAAATGATTATTCTAAATCTTATGTTTTCTATAAAAATATACTGTGCTTTAAAATATGGATGATAGTACCAGCCGCTCTTTCAGCCACTTCAAAAAGCATCAGTTTGTTTAGAAATAAATTGTGCAGTTAATGTCATAAAAATTCAAATAAACATCAAACGAAAATTCTCAGTTTTAGACAATTCGATTTAAACGAAGTAAAGTAGCAGACGAAACGCCAAAGGTAAAAATTTACTCTTACAAAAATGTACTCTTATTTACAAAAAAAAAAAAAAAAAAAAAGATAGAGAGAAATTAAAAAAAATATTAAAAAATTTATTTAAAAAATAGCTTTTCATATAGTATTAATAAATATTTATAATCATTGAGGGAAAAAAATGTCATATAATTATTCTCCGAAATTTTACTTGAAATTTAAGGTTAAAAATAGCTGTGGCAATACAGTGTAACAAAAACCCATAGACCACATTTGGCATTATTATCGCTCAAAAAAAAAGATGCCCAATTTCAAAACGCAAAAACATGTAAATTTGTGTATATCTTAGAAAATTTTGAATAAAAAGTCTGAAATTTTTTGCAGGATATGCTTAAAAATATACCTACTTTAAGATGATGGCAAAAATTTTATAGGTTATAATTCAAAATTTTTTTCGAAAAAATTTATAAAAATTATTTAAAAAAAAATTTTAAAAAAACACAAAAAATGGGTAAATTTTATTTGGAATGAACCTAAATTTCGAAATGTGAGAGAAAAAATCAAAAAAGTTTAATAAAAAAAGAGATATAAATAAATATTTGCCAAATTCAATTAACATTGAGGAGCTAAAATTTTGAGAGCTAATATTTCAAAAACTACTCGTACGATTTTTACAAAACTTGGTAATCAAAATATGTAGAAAAATTGTTATGTTATTTCAGAAAAAGTCCGATTTTGTGTCAAAATACCTATGTTAGAATAATGCTATATATAAATCTAATATATATCCTAAGTCGCGCTTTCGAGACATGAAGAACGCAATTTGAATTTCGTGAATCGCCCCAGTAGAACGGGAGATATATCACTGTCCCATTTTTTTTTTTTTTTTTTGAGCAGTGTACCTTCTCTTTACTTTTAGTTCCTTTATGAAAATTTCGTCAAATTATGTTTATTTACATATTCTGTGCTCTTTGGTTGTGGTGTATATGGTAATTCTTTAAATTCAAAATCTCAAAGTCCAAAATTCCAATAACTGTGCCTAACTTTCATATAAATGCTTTTTATATTTTCCCTTCAAGATGGTTTTCATCCTAAATCATTTTTCTTTTTCTAATCGTACAAAGCACCTAGTGCACAAGGCACACTAGTTTTTATGACAAAAACTTCCGTTTTCTTATGACTATTATTCAATTTAGCACATCTGATTTGTCACCTGGCCCTTGGTTGCAGTGTGCTGATAGTGGTTTCTTTCTTGCACAAGATGGTATTATCCTCTTTGTTGTCCTACAGGACAGCTTAGGTCAGGAGCCGTCTTGTCGGGTAGAGCTGTATATGTTCTGTACCAGCAACAAATTATTATTTCATTTGTGATCTTTATTTTTAATAACAGAAATATGCTTCTTGTATCATCTGTTTATTACATTTTAAATACTTGTTCACTTACAACTACTTCACATAATAATTAATCTTTATAAATAAAGAACGAGAAAGTATTAAAAGAATGCCTCATACCTGTTATAATCATTGCTACTCCAAATACTCAGAGTAGTATCTGCAGATGCCACACATATTCGATTCTTCCCAGCAAAGCATATGAAAGTGATTGTAGATACATGACTTTTAAGCCTCCGAACAACCTATAGAAATTCTAAATTACATTAAATGTACATGATTGTATTTCAAAAGACAGAAACAAGAGTTAGTAATAAATATTTCTTCGAAATTAAAATTATTAATGATAAACTTTCTTAATAAATGGAAGTTTTGATTGCCTCCTTCACGTTTCTCTATCGGTAAGCAAAAATTCAATCTTTCCGCTCAAAGCATGAAGGTCCTGCCTCAAGCACTTTCTTTTACAACCCTTAAATATGAAGTAATTAGCATTCATGTGGTTTCTATCATCCACGCAAGGAACTGTACATTTGCACTTGTAATTGTCCTTATGAAGGGGGCAGCAGCCACATACCATAATATTAAGATTACCAATAGTTTTTTTGGAGATTTGTCAATAAATCACTTTATTATTCATAATGATAATGTAACTTTCCAAAATAAGTAGAAATTGCAGCTAAATCTGATTTGATAACCGAGACCATTTACATCACATCCAAATATAATGAAAAAAAAATGTTGCTCATAATTTAAGCCAGCGTTTCTCAACCTATAATCTATGGACCACAAGTAATTCTCAAAGCACACCTTTGTGGTCCACCTAGTTAAAAAAAAAAGAAAAAAGAAAATTCAAATTAACTTTATATATCACACTACAGGCAAAAATCTCGAAACTTGGAAATAACACTTGGCAATCATGTATCATTTTTGCTCCCAGGATCAAAATTTAACAAACTTTATTTCCAGTTACTTAATTTATGGACTTCCCACTCTATCTTGGCAATAAAAGAGGGATTTAAATTAATGTAAATGTGTTGTTTCTTGCCACTGTTTTGCTGCACATTTGGAGCTGCTTGGCTCAGTGAAAATGGAATATAGTAAACTTTACAATTGTTCTTTAAAAACTACAATTCGGTTTGTTTTTATGTATCTGTCTGAGTAAGGATTTCCTCTGAAAATTCAAATAAAAGCAAAGTACTGAAATCGACTTGATCTATGTGGCAATCTCAGACCCAAGAGATCCAAACACAGAACAGCTATGCAAGAACTGGCATCTATCTCATCTATCTCATTGCTGTGAGTAGCAATATTTATTTAATTTTTAGTTAATAAAGTAAAGACTATACACACTCTAATGTCCCTGAATTATTAAAAACAAATAAAAATGATTTTCTATTAGCTTAATTACTTCATATCAATAAAAATTAAATGAATTTGGATTAATTACATTTTTAAAATTTAAGTATTCTGGAGTAATATATGCTGAAAAATTGCTAAATGAAATATTAAAAAAAAAAAAAAAGGAATACTAAATGCAATGAACATTCACAGTATTTTTCAACAAATCAAATAAGAACAAAATGTTTTCAGCTGTAAAGCACCAGATGATTCTATAAACAATGCTAAAGAAAATTTTAAAACACATTTTTTGTCTTTGATTTAGACACTGCCAAATCATCATTTTATAAAACACAACGTAAATTTTAAACTTTATTCATGCCATAAACAAATTAAAAGGATGGGATTAAAACACATCAAAGATTTACAGTTAAAACTGAATGACAGTAAAAATTTTAACATTCTTGAGATATTAATAATACAGCTTTATTTATATAATTAAAGAAGTTGCACATTCTTCCAAAAGGATATGTCATCTCACAATGTTTCAGACTATACATACAAAAATAAACTAACCTATATGTTTATCCAAATATTGCCATAGGACTGTGTATTTATTTAATACTGTTTGCATGGTTGCTTGTAAGGAAAGGAGTTTTTCAAAGTTGAAATTAATAGCCTATTCCTGAGATCATCAAAAGAACATCTCATTCATTTGCCAATGATATCAATAAAAAATATTATACTTAAAATATATCTATATACGTGTGTGTGAAAAAAAGAACTTGATTAGAAATATTTAGTAGCTAAAACAAGTGGAACCAAATTGAAATGAAAGGCTGATGCAAGTCCAAAATGTTTTGAAATAATTTTTAAAATGCTTCCTAAGATGATTTTTTTCCATGTACACACAGGTATAACTCACATTCATTATGCTAAATAAAAAGAAATTTCGTAAAATTAATTTCATTTTAAATTAATGATTACTACATTATAATGATAGCACTGAAATACAAACTTCACATCTACCGTATTTAAAGGATTATGTATAATTCTGAGTATGGAAAGCACTCAAACCACCTTTTACATCCACAGTTCAACAGTATGGTGCAGAGATTAATTAAATGTTAATTCTATTTATATCCTGTAGCCTTTATCTCTCTGTTTATACCTTGGTGCTAGCAAGACTAGGACCTAAAATTGAAATTATTCTTGTTTGTGTACAGTAGTGCTGTTCAAGAAGGCACTGGATTTTCAACATCACAAATTATTTTTGACCAAGATCTTAGTGCCATGTAATCTGCTCTTCAGACAACCACTAGACACACCTAGTTTCTTTAACAGAGAAGCTACACCTTCTTTACGTTGGTTGTCTGAGAACCGCAGGGACATTTGAAAGACATTCATTGGTTTGCCAGGAAAAGATCAACATTGGAATACGGAAGATGAAGATAAAATGCCAAATGAATGAAGGAATTCAAGGAAGGAGATCAAGTCTGATTGTGCAACCCCAAATATCACCAAGAGATCTCACACAGCTGCAGATAGCTGATAGGGGCACTTTCATATGATCAAGAAACTGGATGGCATAATGGTATGTATTCAAAGAGCTCTTTCTAGATCTTAAAGGAATGCACTTGCACCTTATTTTGGCAATGAAGATTAGTTGTCGCTGGTCTTGGGGAGTGCACCACCAAGGACATGCAGTCCTGATGGAGGAAAAGATGTTACAAATTTCTCTAAATATTTAAATTCATTTTGATTGCATTGCTATCCATGAGTACCATTTAATTTAGTTATTTGTTTATTTGTTGCTTTTGAGGTGATAATTATAGGGTTCAGTTAGAGCATAATTGAATTTGTGGCCATATGTTTCACATATAACTATTAATTTCTTGTACAGAATTGCAGACCTTTCAGCTTTTAATCAAACAATGTTAAAATGGTAAAAACAGCTTAACTATAATGTGAGTTAAGCCGATAACAATTTTTGTCGTCAAATTGGTGACATTCTGTGATTTTTTTGCCAACTTAGTGACTTTTCTGGAAGCTTTGAGAAAATGCACTTTCAAAGCGACAGAAGCGGTTTTCCTCCAAGCTTCTAGAAACCCATGGAATATCATATAAATACAGCCCCCAAAACCAGAACGCATTGACTGTTAATCAGCTCTGAGATTTTGCTGTTCAGAGAGAGTTAATTGCATTTCAGATTTGACTCTATGAGTGAAGTCAGAATCTAGGAAACTTCTTGTGCTTTAAAGAGGAATTTCTTAATATCTGCATTCTTCTTTTGCTATTTACAGCAATTTATTTTGCTGGATGTCACTATTATGTATGATAAATTGTCAGTTTCTCTCCATTTATCTGGAGTAGTAAAAGCCTGACTATGCAGCATTCAATTAACAAGAAAGCTCAAGTAGTCGCAAAATTTTTAAAATTTAGAGTCTTTTTTTAATTTCTAACATAAAATTAAGCAAATAAGACATTTATAACTTTGCTGTAAAACATGAACAGGACTGCGATATGAATTAAACAAAAACTGCTGCCAAGCAGTGCAATTTATCTCCAATAATAAATGCACAACACATAATGCTCTGTATTTATGAAAACCCAATTAATTCATGTCCTGTCAGTGCAACTTTTATAAAAAATGTTAATATAAGTTCACTGCTATACACTTCTATTTTAGTCACATTTTGAAAAAATTATTAAAATTTGGGAATGGTCTTCACTGAGCAAAGTGCAAGAGAGTGTTTTTAAAATCAAAGAATCCTGCCATTAAGAAAAGCAAAACTTACGTGCAAATGGATAAATAATGGCTGTGAAACATGAAAAATTATGACATATCATTTAAGATTTAATATCTTTATATATGTTGATTATCTTACTAAATATGGAGCAATCTGTTCTTTCAAACTTCTGACGGAGTGGCCAAGTCTGATGAGATCTCCACTAATTTTCACGGTTGATGGAGTTTTATAATCAAATATGATGTTTCACTTCGATGTTTATGTCTGAAATGCCAATTTTTTCTTTTGAAGTCTTAAACAATTTAAATGTAGGCATTTGATATTCAAGTTTATAACAATTCTTCCTTTCAATTCTGGAAATTCTTCCTTTCATTCATTTGGCTTTTTTACACAGAAATTCATTTTTATATATTCATTTATAAGGAAGTGGACATTCTCTGAGTTTTTCAGATAGTCGAACCTTTACTGTATTCTTTTAAAGAGCACTAGAAACCCACGACTTGCAACAATATGTTTCTGACTTAAACATTTTCCTACACTTGCATGACAGTGAAAAACAATAGATTGACAATAGGTTAAACTGTTTATAAATAATGACATTTCAGTGTGAAATGTAGAAAATTATAAAAAAAAGTTCAGTGGTTATACTACTAAAGAAATACTAACTGCAAATTCAGAAAAAAAAAAAAAAAAATATTTCTTGCCATTACCACAGTAAAATACTATTTACAGATATTACATTCATTAGTAATACTAATCCAGTAAATGAGAGCATTTTTAACATATACTAAGACTAATAAATGAAACGGTGATGCATTATAAAAGTTTAATAAATCACTCAGCAATTTTCATTAAGTAGGTAAGAACATGATCCTTTAAAAAAAAAAAAAAAGCTATAAACATGCTTTTTAAAACATCATATTTTTACTAAAACTTTGAGATAATTAAATTTACCTTTCTTGATGTGATATCCATAACTCTCAAGTAACCATCAGAACTCCCCAAAACAGCATAAGGTAAAGAATTTTCACATGCAACAGCAGTTACATTCTAAATAAACACAACATTCAGCATCTTAAAAAATTCAGCTGATAAAAAAAGCATAAAATCAGCTAAATAAATACATCTTTTTACATGGAAGCATGAATGCAAGAAAGTATGAAAATATATTTTAAAATACATAGAAACTTAATAAATTATAAGATCTTAATCTGAAGTTTAATTTTTCATTTACCAAATTTGAAAGAACTGTGGAAAGAATTTTAAGGTGCAGCATATTTAAATAAATATATATATATAGTTTTCAGCCAAAGGCTGTTTCAGTTCAAAGACTATCTGGAAAGACAAATAAAATTAAATACGTAAAATAATACATAATGAATATTTAAACTTAAATGTAAAATTAAATGAAGTGTAAAAATATATATTAAAAAAAATTAAACTAATGACAAATAGTTAAACATTAATTTAAAGTACCACAGTTCATTTTATGTGGAACTCAGACTTTAGTTATATTTTCACTTGAAACATAGATTTGCCGGAGCTGGGCCTGGGTTTAATCCCTGGTTTTCACCAAGTTTTGAGTCACAGTATCAAATAAAGCATAGTAAAAGAAAAGTAAATTAAATGAAAGTCTTGCATAAAAAGTCTCTGGGACTTCTTGTGCATCCAGTACCTTTCCCTCCCTCTTTGATTATTCAGAACTTTTTTCTTTTTCTTCTACATGAACATCATTGTTGCCCCGATAGTTCCTGGAGTAATGCAGAAAAATGTTATGCAAGGCAACACAATGCGAGTTAACTACTTTTCATGTGTCTTCCCTTTAGGAGCTGAAACACAGCAGGTTATCCAGTAAGTTCAGAGCAGATCTTAAGGGCCGTTCCCACAGGGGTTTATCTGAGCTAACGGGGACAACTAACATAGCCAACCCATCTCCAAAACCAACTTTATCCCACAGGGCAGCAAGTTGAAAAATCTGACCTGCAGGCATAGTGCAGCTAGTCGACACATGAAACTGAATCTGTTAGCTCAGATAAACCTCAGTGGGAACAGCCCTTTACTCTGGACCAGTTAGAAATTCCATTCTATATGGTCAGTTCCACGTTCAAATCATTCCTTGAGAAGTATATGCAAAGGTTACTTTCTCAAAGGACTTTCACAGATGCAAACACTCAAAAAATTTTTTAAATAACTTTAAAAAAAATCTGAAAGCTTTCAGATTTTATATTATGCCCCAATTTTTTATTTATTTATTTACACATATATAAGCATTTCAAGAGCATTTGGCTAACACCCATTTGGGCTAAAAATATTTAAACACAGCATATCTCTAGAATTTCTCATAGACAGCATCGCGCTCCAGATATAAATATTTTATTCCGCACAGGGTGCTGCCATCGGTCACTTCGAAATTGTTGAGTTTCTTAATAAAAAATTCATTAACGTTTCTAAAATATGAAATAGATAATAAAACAAATTTGAAATTCAATACTTGGGCTCCCAGGTGCCCATGGTCATGCCGAATAACTTTTGGCACAGGAAATGCAAGGAATTCCCTACAACTAAACTGTGTTCATTATACAACACCTATTCATGTGGCACATGAGTTAAAGACAGGTAATGCCATGTTAATGCAAGAAGATAAGTTACGTTGCCATATATGGAGACTTGAGAAGGCTGTAGACATCCATACAGGAAGAGATGAAAGAGTGCACAGTTGCAGTTTCAAGACTTCAGCTCAACCTTTAAGGAGACCAGTGCAACTGATTATTTAGAAGTTTGTAAAGGTACCTCAGTTCAATTTCATATGGTAATTCATAATTTCATAACTTATTTCTGGTCAACTTCTTCAACCTGGGGGGGGGGAATGCAACCGAAATTATACAAGTATTCATTGCTGGCTTCATACAACCCCAGCATGTACAGCATGCATCATACAGACTTTAAAATTAGGTGATGATTTTGGATTAAGAATTCTGTCTGCTGATGGAGCTAGCATGATGTCTAAGTACTTAAGTATTCTTTATCCTATTGCCTTTGTTTCCATCATCAAGTGGGTGATGCACATAAAGAAGGAGAAAGCTGTTCGTCCCAAATAAAGAAATACACTTCTGGACATTAAAACTGCAACAACATGAAGGAAAGCAAGTACAAAAAAGATACTTATTACACGTAAACAGTATGGCCTGAAGACAAAATGATTAAATTTGTAAGCATTTTGGAGGTTTACAGCAGTGCAAAATTAGTAGAAACAGCTGACATCCATGGCAGCTAAAAGGGCCTTACCCCATTAGGTGTGGAGTCAAACTGGCCTTGGTTGACAGAAATGGGCAATTCATTCTATGCTGTTTCAAGTCTATGCCACACTTCATCATCAACAGTATTAGCTGGAGATGGGTTGCCGGCCAGTCTCTCAACAACCCATGACCAGATGTTTTCAATGAGTTACAGAACTGAAGACCGTGCAGGCCAGGGCAGCAATCAAGGAAGGTCAGAATACGACATACAATATGTGATCTTGCATTATCTTGTTGGAATGTGGCATTTGGGGGCGTTGAAGATAGGGCACAATCACTGAACTGAGATGTCAGAAATGCACCCATCTGCATTCAAATTATCGTCCATCCGAACTAGAGATGTGCGTGTCATGTACCCGTTGGATGCCCAAACCATCACACCAAGTGCAGGGCCACTATGCATCACCACCGGAAAAACAAGGCTTTGACACTGCGATCGTGAAATCACTAGTAGTGGGTATAAACATACTCGCAGCTTCTATGCAGCACTTTCTTCAAAAATTCAAAATTTCCTTTTTTTCCCCCCAAAGTAAAGAATAACACATTATTGTTTCCATACATTTTTCGCCATGTCAGCTAACAAATTCATCCTGTTTTTGCTGTAAGAACGGCAATATGTATATTATTTTCCCCTTGAATGACAAGAATATCTGCTTTCAACTTTGTTTACATTAGCGCCGTAACAAAGTTTGTTTGCTGTATGTTTAAAATCTATGGTTATATCTAAATCCTGTGAGTTGTAGATGAAACAAACTAATATCCTTCAACATAATCATAACAAGAAAAAACTACAAGCAATAGATCATCTAAAGGAAGTGTTACATTATTGTGGTGATGACATGGAAAGCTCAGATATTTAATTAGCTATATTTTGACTTACTAAAATTTATGCAATATTTTATATGAAATATTATACAGAATAACAAAAATACATTTTATTGATTTAATTATAACATTTATCTTAAATATTTAAACATATTCAAAATGATGTCGTAAGCAAAATTAGAAGCTGTATAAAATTTAATAAACATCAGTTTTGATATACTTACTCAATATTTTATTTACATTGTTACATAGAATAACTAAAGTAACAAGTTTTTAGGCAGTAACATGTGAAATTTAAGTAAAAATATGTTAGCAATATAATAGTTAGTGATGTATTGTGAATAATGTTTGTGTACAGCATTTGATATATTAGAAACCAATTAAACAAAAACTGAATTCAGCATAAGCTAGTAAATGAAGTAGTGGTATATTATAATGCATGAGGATGCTTAAATTATTTTCTAGCATAGTGTAAGTTACAAGAGATTAACAATATTTGGAATATAATAGGTGATGCATCAAGTGTTACATTTATTTACATAGCATAGTACATAAAATTAATTATATTGAATTCAGACAGTACTAATAAATAGAATAATAATGTGAAAGCATTAATAAGTTATTGTCTAGCATATGAACTGTAAGTAGTATATGAAATGTAATGGTAAGTGAAATTCATGCACTACATTTGTCTACAGAATATGACGCAGCATATAATATTAATTCTGTTGAAACAAATTGAGCAAAAACAGGAATAACTCTTGAATAATGTAATGATATGCTACAATATAAAAGCATTTATAAGTCAGTTTTCAAGTATGCAACTAGGAGAAATTCTTTATATGAAATTTTCACACGTTTATGATCTTCGAAAATTTTGGGTATTTCAAATGTCCCTTGCATTTTAATTTTTATCAAATTGTTTCCACATTAAATTTATAAGATCCATAAGAGAATTGTTATGTCATTTTATCATTGATAAGCATTCACAGGAATTATTAGGCTTTTTATAAAATAATTTAAAATGGCAAGTAACATTTTGTGCATTGTTCATGCCTGCAGAACATAAACTGATTGTTTTGAAACCAGCTGAACAGAAATTGAATTGAGAAAAAGCTAATAAATGCATCAGTGATATATTTCAATGCAAAAGTATTTATAAGTTTTTTTTATGCATTTAAGATTTTTGAAAATTATAGGTATTTAAAATGTCTTTGCATTATCACATAGTTTTTCACACTAAATTTGTATGATTCTGATACTATTTAAGGCATTTGCTGAAGTTTCTTGTAATTAATTACTATAAATTAACTTTTAAATTTTAAGTTGCTTTTAAATTATTGACAGTATTTGTTGGAATACATGGCCTTGATAAGCACATCTATAGCATAGAAAATATTCTCTATGATTCATAAAAAAAAGATTATTTACATAGCTTAATCTTTAATATCTGTTTCCATTCAAGCAATATTTATTTAAAACATTGCGGGTTCTCAGCATAATAATCAGTAACTAGACATAAGTATAATATAATTAATGCAGTTTTGAACTTTGAATATTAGACTCAAGATCAGTTCATAATTAAGCCAAGCAAAAAAATCTAATCATACACTAAAAAAAAGTTACTACATAATTACTTTCAAAATTGTTAAGTGTTTCAGAATCATATAAAGTGTCTTTAATTTATAATCTACATAGCTCGATATTAAAAAAATTAAAAACAATACACACAATTTTCTTTAATAATATTTTCTTTAATGCACTGCAGCTTTTCAGAGCAATGAATAAAAATTAGACTTTATATGCATGTAATATAGATAGATCATACAGTTTTCCATAATCATTATTCCTCATAATTTATATGCAAAAAATAATGGCATAAAAATATATAATCTGAATAGCTTGATACTTAAGGATTTTAAAAACAATGCATACAATTTCCTTTAATCATTAATTATACAAAATGATATAAATTTTCAGCAAATTGAACAGCAATTTACAAATGGGATGAAATTTTGGAATTCTGTAATAATAACATTTTTATTTCTCATCAAACAATAATCATATATATTAATACACAGCAAATGAATTCATAATTGATATTAGCAGTAAAGAGGCTACATTTTGCCACTTCCCTTGTACTAGCTTTGTCGTTTGGTGCACCAGAGTCACAGTCTCTCTCTATGCTGAACTGTCAAGGGAAGCTGAAGTAATGGTTACCCTGCTTATAGTCCACGCTGCTGCAAACGTCGATGCACTTTACGAGCTGATACAGGGCATGCTGCAAACATGCCCCTTTCCTGACTAATGGTCTGTGATGTGGTCATAAGTTTTACAGCGCTGATCTCACAATATGTCTGTCCTCTCTAGCATTAGTCATGGGAGGGCGTTGAGATCCTGCAAGCCATTCAGTATGACCCTTCATTCAGTAAACCATTGATTCCATATCTGCATGACAGTGATTGGATGTCAACCAGTGTGACCGGCGATATCAGGGAACAATAATCTACACTTTTGATAGGCAATGATCCTGATTCTATCTAATTTTGAAACTTGATGGTAAGCATTTCTTCTTATTATTCGAGGTAATAACATGATATTCTGAGGAAACTCCAACCTTACAAAGCCTTTTCTGAATGAGAAATCCACTACACAACTTTTCTTTTATGCATTGCTTCAGATGTCATTTCTCGCTCCTCCATCGTCTAAATGCGCTGAAATACAATACAATATGTCTGTCCTCTCTGTCATTTGCAAATCCCAACTTCTTCCTTTCATGTGATTTTGAGGTGCATGACAGGTCATGATCTACTGGCCATCATCCCCCATGTGTTGTGTATGTTTGCAACCTATATACTATTCTTACGACTAGAAATTACTAATGATTTAAAAAAAACCCACCACAATGCACAGCAGATGCATAATGGAAAAGTACCACCTTAAGTACATGTGGAAATTTATTTCATCATAACACAAATAAGCCTTAAGCATATGCAGGAAATAGATGCAAGTATTATAAATAACAAAACTAATATAACTGAGGCTTAATTTCCTCAGTGTACAATAGAAACAAGACAAATTTTAGCAGGAAAACATATTTTTTTCACTAATCTCATGATACATCGCCAATAGTGCACAGCGGACACTCGCTAAGCTTTATGATGATAGCTGCGAATTTGAAAGCTTTGGATACTGCAAAGAAAATGCTAAATTTTCCAATGAATGAAATTTGTGAAGAAATGTGAAGTGGCAAAGAATGAAGGTGATATAACAGAGGTATTCCATTGGGATGATAATGTCTTAAATATCAATTAATGGAAGGACCGAAGAATCTGTAGTATAGTTCCAAACCCAGAAAATTTCTTTACTGATATTAATGAAAGTGAGAGATAGGTTCTTGAGGGGGAAAAAAATAGACTGACATTTATTTAGTGAGAATCCTCAACATGGTAATTACAGAACTTTGTAACTGAATAAGAAATTGTCTATCTGTACGATTAAGGAGAAAGAATTAGCACAAAAAAAGTAACTTAAAACAACTTACATTGAAAAAATGCTTAAAGCAAACAAATAATATTTAGCTTTTTTTCTCTCATAAATTTTTATTTCCTGAAGATTACAAATGCTTCATTACTTCAAAAACAATTATTTAAGAATTTTAATTTTATAATTCCTATCTGCAATCTTATTAGACTTAAAATAATGATCTAAACTCAGGAAAATTTCCTAATTTGTAATTGTTGAAGTTCTCACAAGTCCAGATCTCAGATATCTACTATACTTTTTTAAAATAACTATCTAAGACTGCTCAGTGAACAATGCAGGACTTCGTAGAATTCTGTTTGATATAGTTTAAGTGTATCCCTTACATTATCTGACAATATACCACAGTTTAAAAGCTTACATTTTGGTTGATCTGGACTTACTGATTGACTTCTAAATGTATCCTTGGAACTGTTTAGGACTTTGGAATTTTTTTTATCCTCGGAATTTTTCTGGAATTCTGCTTGTAAAATGCAAATTTAATGACAGCTATATTGAACATCAACTTTGCATCATTATTTAACCTGGTTTATTTAACAGGTTAAATTCTCAGTGCGAACTACAACTGTTCTCCAAAGATAAAAATGAAATTTGTGACAATTTTTAAAATTTCATAGTATGTTCAAATATTTCATTAGTATTTGGTCTTGTTTTTGTGTCCGATTTATTTTCCAATTCATCTTCTTGAAATGAATCTTTTTTTTTTTTCTTCTTATAACACAAAATATTGGAAACCATACATTTAGACTCAAAACTTGAGTACTTTTTTTTTTTTTTTTTTAAAGTTCTGATACTCTTCAATTAATAGTATTGATATTTGAACACAACAATTAAATGTATAATATTGTATACTGTAACTTCCAATGTTTCTTTTGTTGATTATGTTGCATTATCTGTAATTTTGAATTCTCTTAAGTTAATCCAATGCTGTTTGATATGTCTGGCTTGCTATTTTTAAATGTTCTTCAAATGTGACGTTTTGTTGTAGGCCTTACCAGGCAGGAAAATGGCCTCACTGTATATTTGATGTAATGCAATATACTTTTGAGACTTGATATCCAAATGTATGTAAGATTAAAAGAAAGGTCTTTATTGCAACCAAATTTTATAGCAATTTCATTAGCTTCTCTAATTTTAAGGCCACTTTTGTGCTGAAGTTTATTGATGATTTTCGCATTGTCCCATTCAGTTACAAAGTACTGACGCTCTAAAAGGTATTCTACCATGAATTTGTTACTTTCATTGCTGTTTGCATTGATAGAGAATTTATAAATATTTTTATCACACACACAATTTAAATTGAAAACTTTCTAGATGTCAAATGAATATACTAAGTTTCAGTATCTTTTCCTCATTGTGGATGGAAATGGCATACACACTTGATGCATCCGTTGTAATGGCATCTGATTTGTCCATTCTTAATTATTTTGGAGAAGATGAGGGTGGGGTTATGAGAAGTTTACATCCAAATCTTTTGAAAACTAATTTATTACCTCATTACCCTATACATCACTTTGATTTTTAAAGGCTTCAAATATAAACGTGTCATAACCCCCTTTGCATTCAGTTGGAAATCATTAACGGCAGACAAATCAGAATGACAGTGCAACAGTTAACATTTGGTATGTGCACCATCCCAACACCTGACAAAGAATAAGATAATGAAATTCATTGTATAGGTTCAACATCTACAAAATTATTAATAAGAATTGATGAAGAGAAGAAAGATGTTTATAAACTCTCTGACAATCAACCTAGAGACAAAAATAGCATGCCTTAGGCAAAATAACTCTTAAAACATGTGCACTTTGCAGTTAAGTGGAACAAATCTAAGATCAATAAACTTCAACACAAAAGTGACCTTCGAATTACAGAAACTATTAAAATTGCCACAAAATTATATTTCAATAGCAATCTTCCTTTTGATTTTACATACATCTGGGTATCGATTCTGGAAAGTACAGCAACTCTATGTAAAGCAACCTCACATGAAATAGCAACAAAATAACTTAATCAAGCTATTCATTCATAATCCACCTCGCAAAGCATATGGGTGACTATTAAAACTCAGACCTTAGCAATTCTTTAATATAATTTTAGCATAGTGTGTAAACTAAGACTAATTAAGCATTAAAAAATTATACTTTTGATTTAATATTATGATAGCAAACATAACGTGACAAACAAAGTACACCACAGAAATAAAAAAAAAAAGTGAATAAAATAGTATTTTACCTTCATAAACCCATCAAGAGTCCCAAGTCGCAAATCTGTTTCACTAGATCTTGATATACATTCAACAGTATTGAAAACTGTATCTTCTGCTGTAAACTGCACTAAAGAGTCTTTAGGCTCATTTAGAGCTTGTTGTCCAACCAACTGAGGACACCTAAAGTTATAAAATATCACAACCTTCAGCAAACAATGTAACTGAAAAATAACATAAAATTAAACAGAATCTGAAAGTTTCAGATTTTTATATTATGACCAAAGGGGCGTCATTTTTATTTACATACACATACACGTTTCGAGAACCATTTCAAGAGCATCTGGACTAAAGCTCCTTCGGGCTAAAAATTAAATTTTGTAAACAATCAAAATATTAGAGCAGTAAAACTGGTAGTAAGTAATTACGATAGAAATACACTAATGTTTGTGAAAAATGCATCACCATGAAGGAATTGTTGGAAATGAATGAACTTGATTCTACATATTTAAGGATAGTGGTACACATAAATGATCAAATTTATAAGACAAAAAAAAAAAAAAAAAAGGAAACGAAGGTCGGAAATCAGTACTTTGTGCATTCACCATACTGAATGATGACAGCCTGTACACATCAAGGCATTGAATCATACAAACTCTGAATGTAATCCTGGGGAATGACATTCCTTTGACTTGATGCCAGAGTTCAGTCTTAGCGTGTGCCTCTCACCAGCTGCACAAGCGATTCGCCTACCGATGAAATAAATCCCAGACATGTTCAGTGGCCGACATATCCGGTAAATTAGCAGGCCATGGAAGACGTGAAACCTGTTGCACCCTAAGAAAGGCTTGTGCAGTCTTAGAAACATGTGCATGGGCATTATCCTACCGAAATACAGAGCCCGGAATGTGTAAAAAAATGAGGAGTATTTCTGGTTCCGCAACTTCCCTTTATGCAGTGATCGCTGCTGAGGTTACTTGCAGTCTGCACAAGATAGGATCAACAATTAGACCCAATAGCTCCCCACACCATGATGCCAGACGTTTGTGAAGTGTGACGCTGGATAACACACTGTGGGAGCAGACATTCCCCTCTGCAATGTATGATGCATACTCTTCCATCATTGCACTCCAGATTGCAGCGAGATTCATCAAAGAAAACATCTTTGCCACATGGCACGCTCTGTATAATGCATCACAGCCATGCGGATGAGGTGTCTGTCATCCCGTGCTGTTGTGCAATTGCATGCCCCACTGCCAGCATTTTGCCTTACTTGGTTCTCCTCTATCCATTACTTCCAAACACGTATGACTGTCATGCCATTGTGGCATTATGCTGCAACTGCTCGATATGAAAGTCCACCCTCTCACATATCGACAACGCAGCCTCATTTGAACTCAATTAGCTGTTAGTAGACACACTCTGCTGTTAATAAGGTATACTGACCACTAATTAAACGCTCACCGATAACAGAGGACAATAAACAGATTTTAAAGAAACTTTGCAGTCCTTTACATACGTGGAACAAGTGGCTGGTTCTCATTCCACGCATGCGCAATTCTAATCATTTCCATGTCTTACCTCACTTTACATTTCCTGTAAGTTTGGTTCAATTTGCATAATTATTTCATACTGTTGCAATGTTCACAAACATTAGTATATGATTCCATTTGTGTTTCTTTACTTAAGCATAAAAAATCTTTCTGTAATAAAAACGCAGTATTTTTCAAACAGTCACAAACATGAATTTATAGGCTTGTACGGTTAAAATGAAAGTCTTATTATTGTGTAAGGCTTAAAATTTAATAATGAAATAAAACAATTTCAAGTTACTTCAGGAAACAATTTAAGTTTTTAAAATATTTAACTAAAGACAAATTTTACCCAATTTTCTGTTCTCTAAGTTTCCTTATATTTATATTCTAATTATAAGGTTTATATTATTTTTACTAACAGTTAGTTTAATTTCTTAAGTCTTTTCTGTCACTCTTTGTTTTCCCTGCATTTCCTCATCAGGATGTAAATCAGTTAGGAGGAACGAGAGTGTATTTAAATTGAAGCAGCAAAAAGGTTAGTCGGAGCATGTTTCCACTATTTGAGTGCACAGGTTTTTATTTTTACCAGCTGTTTGAATTCTGAATCTTGGCTTCAGATTCTTGCCACCAAAGTTTAATATCATGCCGGTGTTGGTTTCCAAGTCAATCTGCACTATTAAATTAATTTGTGTAATCTTGAAAAACATGAACTGGCTTACCTTTAAATTTGGTTTGTTATAATTATCCTTAAGTTCCTCAACCACAAGTGGATGGTGAGGGTAAATAAGAGGGTCAACAAAAGGGTCTTTTACACTCTTCCCCTGTTGTATTCACGTTCTAATCTAAGCGATAAGTCGCTTAGAGTTATCGCTTAGATTAGAAATATAGTAGATATTTATGCTAGCAAAAGAAGAGCCTTAAATTGGCACCTGAAATAAATCCGAACCAATGGCCCAGGATAAGCTAACTTCTTGCTGGCCCCACTGGCTCTACTAAACCCTTCGAAGGATTTGCTTTCTTAGTGGATACAATGCGAGCCACCATGAAAACCGCAGTGATATTTGATTGTAGAATATCAATCACCAGCATTTCGGAACAGCTGGATAGCCACTTTTTTACTGTGCCCGCTAACAAAAAATTCAAAAATAATTATAGCTACTATTGCCATACAAGGACAGGATTTAAGCAGGTAGTACAGATCGGTAAATTTTTATTAGAGAAATAGGCAGTAAGATGTACACATTTGAAAGATTTAAGACTGCCCTTCTAAACGTGTTCCCAGTGATCACAGACAAAGCGATGTTAGAAGCTGAATTACTCAGCAAAGTATCAAAGGAAGGTCGAGGAGTTGATAGAATGTATTTTGAGAAAAATTAAAATTATTAATTTATTGTATGTGAAAAGGGCCGATACCAAAGTGATTCACATTATTTTACCCCAACTATTGCCCCCAAATTCGGGACTTTACTGAACTGAGAAACTCAGCACTTTAGAACAGTTGTTTTAGCTGGTGGTAATATTCAAAAGCTAGAGGGCGGCCAAAAGAACACCTACAGTAGATTACAGCCAGAGACCGAACGTACAGTTTCATAGGATTATAGAAGAAAACAGGCAATGATTCAATCACAGGAAAACTCTAGAAATAAAAGTTTTGGCAATTCCCAAGGTAAGCCGCAAGATAAGAAAACAAGGGGTGGAAGAAGCAACAGTTAAACTAATCCAAAGTACTGATGGAATGAGGGTGCAGTTATCTCATTCATAGAGAAAACCGCCTAAAATACAATAAAATACAGTGCACATGAAAAATTTGGTCTAGGCGGTTCATTGTTTTGCTAAATAATGTGACAGCAGAGGCTGCATTAGATACAGGGGTGCATGCAAATTTCCTTTCTGAGAAATTTTTCGCAAAAGTTTTAAAAGATATCGGCTGTCTAGTGTAGAAAATCAGACAGTTATTGACGCACAAAGCAAATATTTCACTTGTGTAGGAAAAGCTACTTTGGAACAGCTTCAGTATAGCCCACCTTTAAAGCTTGGTGAATTTGCTTTGGTGCCAAAGCACATGAAATACGTTGTTTTGAAAAATGATTGCCATCCAGATTTTCGATGAAACTCCGTGTTTCAAAAATGGCGGCCATCTTGATTTCACCAGAAATCGTGGATAACAGAAATAAATTTATGACTATTATACACGATTTTAAAAGAAAGAAATATTAAGGAATAATTCATGAAAATGATTAAGGTTAAAAGGATGTAATTTTAAAAACAATGCCGGAAAATCTCACCTTTGCTTGGCTTTCCCAAATGTAAGATACCTTTGCATGGTATCTTACATTTTTCACAACAAATTTTATCCTTCAGTAATCTACAACCCAACCAAAACCCTCTAAAAAGTTCATATTCTCTTGTTAATTCATACATAAAATATCTGTTTGGAATGAATGGCTTTCTCAAACTTTTACGCTTGTTCGAAAACTCCCACCTTAAATTTTCCTTTAAAATCTCTCGATACTTAATTACAACATCATTAGCAGCAGGTTTAGAGCAATCCATAACTAAATGCAAAAATCTGATCTCCAAAACAGTATTCCAAATTCTGAGCGTTAGACAATCGCCGAAAATAGTGTTACGAATTTTGTGTAAATAGTTAATTTTAGTACAATTCTAATTAAAAAATGTTGTATTTCCCTGTGCAACGCAGCGCGAGATAAATTTTAAGAGAAGCTATGCCAGAAAGGTAAGAATACATTGGCACATGCATTTAACTATGAGTAAATGGATATCTCTGTAATTTGTATTAAAAAATGAATAAATGTTACTGACTACTATATTAGCTGTAACCGTAATTCCATCCTCTTGTTTACATGCTTTTGGTGAATAGTATGGGTTACCACATCATATCATTTATCGCCGCTCTTGGCGATATTTTTTGGATAAAATTCTGAGTGGGCTATACTGAAGCTGTGCTGCTACTTTAAATGTTCAAGTTTAAAATGAAACTCAAAGACAATTTTTTTCGTTGCTAAAAATTTACAGGCTCCAGTTGTTTTAGGCATGGAATTCCTCAAGGCGGAAGGAGCAAAAATAAATTTTCAGCAAGCAACAGTCCAATTACAGATGTAAGCCAAGCAGGAGGAAGTTTTGCAACCACCTATCTTGGAGCTGGGACGTATGCAGCCTGAAGACTAGAACATAATGGAAGACCTGCTAAGAAATTTTACTCATTTTTTTTGCTGATAAACCGGGCATAACCCAAATAAAGCTATACGAAACTAGGCTGAAAAATAACGGCTCCTGTAGAGCAAAGCCTTACTAGTATCATACTTGCCAACCTATGACACTCAAAAATCAGGAGATTTTTTTAAGAAATCAGGAGATTTTTCACAATGTTAAAAAGACTTTTTAAATGATAAAAATATAGTTTTTAATAACGAATTAACTTAAATAGTTACTAAGTCTTAAATGCAAGCAAAACAAAAATACCTTAGACATAAAAAACATTTTATTACTTTCATCGTTAAAAAAAAAAACAAAAAAAAAAAAAAAAAAAAAAAAAAAAAAGGCACTTTAATCAGTTTTCATACAAATGTTATGGACAGTGGCAGATTTTGCTCTCGTTAAGAAAGAAATTTCATAATTTTGTTCATAGCAATTGCCACGTAGGCCTGCTTTCGCTAATAAAAGTTTTTCTAATGTGTCATCACTAATATTAGGTCTAAATTTAGTCCTCGTTTTCGCAACAACACTGAAAATCCTCTCACACTCCGCATTACTATGGGGAACTGTCAAGATGGCCAACATAATTCTAGGGAGTTCACTATATTTTAAAATTCCATCAGCACCTTTCAATTTTCCAATTAACCTCCACTGGGGTGTCAATCCTAGCTGATTTTTAACTTCATCCAAGTTTTCTAATTGTAAACTGCAAAATTGCGACTGCAAGTATATCAATAGCAAACATCAATATCATCATCTTTCATGACTAAACAAAGTAACACAGGAAATCTGTTCAAAAAGTACCTTATATCAAAAAAAGATGCATTTTGCTAGAGCAGAAACATCAGCAAATTTAGCATGCAAAATCACTTCATTTTTTGACTGGAAATTTATGTAGTATGTAATCACATAACTCGACAGAAGTAACTTCTAACATGAAGATAAACTTATTTTTGTCTTCTCCTGAAAGTTCTTCGACTACTTTTTGTAGTTGCAGCTCCTATTACCAATCTTCATCTTCCTTCTGATTTTCTGTTTCACCATAAATTCACATCATATATAGAATTACAAGACAAAACACAGACTGGTTTTACAAACTTTGATAAATGTCTTTAAACAGATCATAAATCATTGATTGCAAAATATGAATTAATGGAATTCTGCTTTGTAGAACTGTGTTAAAAACATCAAATGAAGGCAAAATGAATTGTAAAAAAAAGCATAAAGCTTTGTTAAGGTCCTGAAGAAAAAACCATAAATATTCGTTCTTCACAAGATAAACTTACAGTAATCCAAAAATGTTTCGTGTGTTGAGCAATTTTTTTTATTTTTGAGAGAAATTTGTATCAGTTTACGCTTATATTTTGCAGTATATTTTGAGAACTGCCAGTTGAATTGCTGAATGAATGATGAGAAATTAAAAAAATCAAAATTTTTCTCATTTCAGTATTATGCAGCTGTTGGAATTGTTTCAATTTTCCTTTCTTTTAGAACTCCTTTCAAGATAATAATAAAATATCAACAATGTGTTCATCCACATTTAATGGTAAAGAAGCTGCCCCTTTTTCAGCTGCTAAATTTAAGAGGTGACAGGTGCACTCATATCTGCAAATCTGAATTTGCCTTTCTTAAGATGCCTGTACACCCAGTCTTCAAGCCTACCATTACTGGTGCATTATCGGCACCAAGCGCTAAGCAGCAATTATCCAGAGGGACTGCATTTCTTTTAAAGTTTTAATAATTAGCTGTGCTATATTAAAGCTTGTCGAATGTCCTTCTAAAGTGGGGTCAGAAAGTAAACTGCACTCAATTTCTGAAGACTCTGGATTAAAAAAAAAACAACAATTGGATACAGTTTTGAATTGGTATTATTGCTTCCATCCGTAGAGAGGCAGAATGGAGCTGTTTTTTTAATGCAATCAATAACTGAAGATTTATTTTTCAAACCCATTCTTTAACAACTGCACCTGTTTTGGTCCTTGCACTTGAGTATTTCTTAGCGATTTCACTATCGGGAAACATTTTCTAAATAAAGCTGCAGCGTGATCCGATGCATTCAGTGGCAGGTTGTGCTCCAGTAAAAAGGCAGAGAACAGACATTCTGCATTAATCACTTTTTGGTCTTTTGTTTCCGAAGAAAAATTTAATTTTTCGTTTTTTCGAAACAACTCATGTTGTCCTTGTGTTTTTGTGTACGCACATGTTTGAGAACATCTGCCCTTCCACCAAGCGAAATCGAAAAATCGCAACGACAGATGGTACACATCGCAAATTTATTACATTTCCTTGAGAAATAATGGAAGGAAAGTCAACTGTGTACGATTTTTGAAACGTGCACGAGTATTTCACCTTTCTCGCAGACATATCAAAAGACGATAATTCTAAAACTATTTCCTAAAGGCACTTGTACTCACCACAACTCAGGACAGATAAAACGAAATAGCGAAAGAACATCCAAAGAACGGCCAACGGCCTTGAGCTTGCTTGTGCTCATTGGCTAATATTGTCAGATGACACGCAGTGGAGCTCGATGCCCATTGGACAACTGGAGAACGACGTTGCTGGATACGTATGCTGTCAATCACAAAGCAGAAATTCTCATCTGATTTGCAAGGTTTCATTTTAGATAATCTAGAGAAAATTCAGTTGCTTTCAGACGTCCAAAATCACTTTTTTTTTTTTTTTTTTTTTTGTTCATAAACAAAGTATTAAGCCAAGTTCCATAAAAATCGTGAGAAATATTAAGAATAAGAAAAAGTCGGGAGAAATATATTGTAAATCGGGTTGGCGGGAGAGCGGTCGAAAATCGGGAGAGTTGGCAACTCTGTAGTATGAAAAAAAAGATATAATTTAGCAACATATTGAAGAAATGTTAAAAACTAATTATCCCCATTAGTCCATATGCTAGTCTGGTGGTTATGGAGCAAACAGAACAATTTGCCTCCAACAGACTTGGTGATTTGCTAAAGGAAGCTAACTAATTTAACAAAATATCCCATGTATCCACTTCCTATAAATGTAGAAATCATAAGGAAAATAAAATCAACTAAATACATGACCATGTTAGAACTCACCTCAGGTTATTTTCAAATAGCTACCAAACCCGAGAGTATTCCAGAAACCACATTCATAACAAAATCAGGCACTTATGTCTTTTTGAAAATGCCTTTTGGCTTGTGCGGAGAACTTTTGATCTTTTAAACAACCATGGGCATAATTTTAAGACATGTCCTTGGAAAATCTGTGGAGACAATAGGTAATTTTTGGAGGCAGAAGAAATGAAAAATTAACAACGCCTTCGCCAGGAATCGAACCGCAGGCTATGGAATACGTGCCCAGCGTGCAGACTATCGTACCATGAAGGCATGCCAAGAAGGTGGGAGAAAAACCTTATATACTCCCCCTTCTAAAGGGTGACTGAGATTTTTAGAGGACTCAATCACCAAATCCTGGGTGTGGAGAATCACCATCCAACACCCTTTTAGTTTGAGCGCCACTGTAGTAGACATTAGGTATGTTTTGGAAGCAGAAGAGATGAAAAATTAGCAATGTCTTCGCCGGGAATCCAACTGCGGACCTTTGGAATACGTGCCTAGCGTGCAGACCACCATACCATGAAGGCATGCCAAGAAGGTGGGAGAAATACCTTATAAATCTACTTTTATTTAGTTTGATGATATAATAATGACTAGTGAAAATGTCAATGACTATATTAGAGATTTAAATAAAATTTTTACATTATTAAGAGAAGCAGGTTTAAAAGTGAATGCGACCAAATGTAAATTCGCGGCAAAAGAGCTTAGGTACCTAGGCTACAAAATTTCTCAAAAGGGAATACAAACTGAAGATTCCAAGATAACTGCAATAAAAACAACTACCTGCCACCAAACGCACAAAAAAATTTGCCTTATTTTTAAGATGGATATTTTATAAGATGGGTTTGTTAAATAAACATCATGATAAGAAAACAAATTAAGTGAATGTTCAATGGAAACAAAAGCTATGCTTGCGAGTAAACTATGCTATGGGATGGGAAATAAAGTTAAGAAAACTCCAGAAAACCAAATACGGCAAAAAATTTTCAATTTTAAAGAACAAGGAGAGAGTACAAGATTGCACAGTACAGCTTATAAACATACCGTGAGTTATTGAAGAAAAACATTTATTACAGAAAAATTGAAACCTGGAGAAAATGGATGAATAAAAAGACGCCACAGATTTAATTGTTTGTACTTTATGAAATATATCACACATGGGTTTAAGTTTTGGTTTTTGAAGTAAAACAATTATGGCAATGAATTATGTTATAGAATAGAAATCTACCCTGAAAAATAAAGTGGAAGATTTTGCTTGGAGGGGGGCGGGGTACAAATCCCAAATTGCACGGAGACCTGAAATTACTTAAACCAGCCCTACTTTCAATAGTATGCAATCATGGGGTTTCAGATCCTATTTATTTGTGCAATAATTCAAAGACAGACAAACATAATAAAGCAATGCAGGTGCCAAGACCACAGAAGTAACTCTTCGATAACTTCAAGCATATATTTCTGCATTTCCTGCATTATACGATGCAGTAACAGAGCAGGAATTACAGACTGCATGTTTATTGTGCAAGTATTAAAAAAAGGATACTGTTATTATGATTATAGATTATAAAAAGATGAAGTACCTTTATTTCTCAATAGGTGAACACAACATTGCTTTATTACTATTAGTTGGTAAAAGTTTTGGTTTGAATACTATTGTATTTTTACATTCAGATTTGTCATTGTGTAAATACACGTATCACTTGTGTTGTATAAAAATCATATTTCTGAAATGATTGTCATTATTTCTGAAATAATGCACTCAAAAAAGATTTATTATACAATTTTTAGCATAGAAATGGGAAATAACCAATCAAAAAAGACCTTAGAGGCTATTGAAACATTAAAGCCAAAATTTTATCTTATCCTTAGAGGCTTCACAGCAAAAATAAAAAACTGCTTTACTGTATACTTATTTTATAATAATAAAGTATTAAAAAATATAGTTATGTATATATATAAAGTACTTACGATCGAAAAATGTGAAAATTCTTGATCACAAAGCTGTGATAAGAAGATAAAACTGCATAATCAATACTCGTAGTACTTTCCTTACTTTCTCGTTTTCTCTCTTGCAACAAGTATGAAAAATAACTTAACAAATTATCAGCAGCTTGGCATTCAAACACACTTTCCAGAAATATTTGACAACATAATAAATCAGAAAGTTCTTGATAACAGTGTCCATGTAGCAAATGATAAAGCAGGCACCGGAAAGCTGATCCAGAATTTCCATTCCACTTACCGTTAATTTTCGGATCACAAATTATGTAGTAATGTGCTGAAAAGAAAGTAAAATATATAACATGCTTTATGGCGAATAACAGGAAACATTTTAATTACCAATTAACAGTTATATTCCCCAAAATGAATCCTGTTTTTGCAGTTTCAAAAATTCTTCCTTGTTTTTGTAAATGTGGAAAGTGTATCATCCTCAGTAATCTTCTCCATGGATATTGTGGGGGGATTCACTATAAATCAGGGTTGAGCTATTCCTATGTGTACTATTAGGTTGGAGATGTGTTTGAGTTCAGTCTCTATCTTGACCTTCCTACTTTCGTTATATTTGCAATTTTTTTTTTACAATATTAACTGTTACATTCGTTTCTTGTTTTAATGAACATAGATGTTTTAAATATTATTGACACTAAAAATAAAAATATATAGAAAGATACAGAATTATTCAGCAGAGAACTAAAATAAACTTTATTATTAAACTTTTATTATAAACGAAAGAACTATAAATTGCAAGGGCACACTTAGAACCAGAGATCAGATCATTTTAGAAGAGTAATTTCATTCCTGTCAAGCTGATTTAGCTAATCCTTTAACCAGAAAACTAATAACAAAAAGAAGATCAAAAGAAAAAAATACTTTAGTTTCCCATATTTAGAATGAAAAAGTAAAAACATTTTAATGAAGACTGATATACTGACTAATGTTCCTCAATTTTCAACTTTCAAGCTACTCCACACTATTTTAGATAAAATACTAGAGGATACGCTCCAGAAGTTTCTACTATGAGATATTTAGTGATTTCAAGTGAACTTTTGAAAGGGATAGTAATTCCAAAGTTTCTTATTATTTTCTGATTTAAAAGATTAATTTTTCCCTCCCTATTAAGAGGGAAAGAGAAGCAAAGAAAAGTGGAAAAGCTTTCTATATGGATGGAACTTTCAAAATCTGCTCAAAATTTTTCTTCAAACTTAATTATCTATATTGATTTTGGAATACTTTCAATGAGATAAATGCCGTTCTTGTGCTGTTTTCCTTATTTTCCGAGAAACAAAACTAGATGTAAGAAAAATTATTTTGTTTAATTACAAATTACACTATTCACTGGGTTCTAAAGAAATTTAAATTATTTTGACGTTGAAGTTATAGTTATTTTAAAGACGCTTTCCTTTCTTCCATAGAAAAAAGTTTGAAATTTCCACTCAAATCAGAGTTGTTGGCGAAAGATACAGAACTGGTTAATGAGCACACAAGACAAGGAATAAATTAAAATTCACTTCAAAATGAGCATGTCTCTTGTAGTAAACATACTCACAAAAAAGTGTTGATACTTGTTTGTTTGCCATACAAGAAAATTCACCAACTCTGATGCAAGTTTTGAAGAATTCTGTGATTACTTTGTTGATTAGCTGCTTGAAAATTTCATAAGGATACAGATGTAGAAATGCAATGGAAAAATACAGAGGATAAATAATATTGTAGAAGGATGGTATTATAAATTAGATTCCCTTACTTATACATATTTTTGCGAGTATTTAAATCTTTTTGGATAGTTTTGTTATTTTTCTGCATTGTTGTAGTGTTATGAATTGTTTTATTTATTTATTTATTGCTTTTAGAATGATAATTTGCAATTTTTTTGATTATTTTGTGTTTAATCTGATTTATAGCCATATGATTTGTATTTGTTTATTTGTATTATAGAAATGTAGACCTTTCATTTCTGGGTGCAACAGCATCTGAATTGTCAAAAATTCCCCAATCAGAATGTCAGATATGGCAATTTTGTTTCTAAGGGGCCATCGTTGATATTTAATGACTTCAAGCAAACTTGACGATTTTCTGGAAAATTAGCGAAATTATATTTTTAAAGCCCTCAACCGATTCTTCCAAAAGTTTTCAGAATCCATGCTATAAATATATAAATATGGGTTTGACAGCTAGAAAGTTCAGTTATTAATCAGCTGTGAGATTTAATATTTACCTGAATTGTGATGTAGAGTTTACCATGAGAGCGATTTGAGGACTTTAAGATGTACAGTATAAAGTCTGAAATCCGGAATGATCTAAAATCCGGACCTCAAAGGCACAGACAATTTTTTTTAATTAATGCATTACACATGCACATTTGATTTTTTATTCCATAATAAAACATGTGGAAAAACAATCATTTAAGTATAAATTTTAGTGATTAATAATTTGCTCCGTAGCTAAGTATCTAGTTGGCATACATCTCAAACTGAAACATTCAGCTATTTTATATCCCTGACGCCGAACTGGCGAGTCATTTTTTATTATATTTTGCTTTCATCCCCGCATCTTTATGAATACATGCCAGCTTCAGTAATAACTCATTCTGTGATGTCTAATTTTTTTTATATTAGTAATTAAATAACAAGAATATGGCAACCTTTTATGCTAACATTACGCTTGGCGATGATTATAGATTTTTAAATGCTCTAAGAAATGTTGACATGGAAAAATTCAACAAAAATTTCTTTTCATACGCTAAAAATAGATTTTGATAATGAAACTCACAGGTCAAAAGATTACATTTAGTGCTATTTTAATTAAGAATAACTGAGATGTAATTCCCGATAAACCCAGAAGCGTCGGCAGAATTTAGGGAAGATGAAATTTTTGGAACTTGGGGAAGCACTGAGTGGGAAAATTAAGGGATGAGAAGTTTTTATGATTTAGGGGGATCCAAAGTTTAGGCATGGTGAAAATTTAGAACTTAGGTAAGCGGTTTGTAGAAGAATTTAGGACTCGTAGAGACTGCACCAGGCGGTATCAAGCTCCAGCCTCTAGATAAAGCCTTAAGTATATGTGGGAGTTTATTTATTCAGGACTCGGATTAGTTTGAAGCATGAGCAAGAAATAAACGTAGTTATAGTAAATAATTAAACTAGTACAATTCAAGCTTAATTCAGTACACAATAGGAGCACAACAAAATTTAGCGAACCAACTTGGCTTTCGCGACCAATCTTGTGATACTTAGCCAATAATGTATAACCGATGCCATTAAGCTATGCTAAATCTTAAGCTAATTATCTTAAGTGATTCTAAGGCATTTCAATTAATGTAGCAGACTCCGTGATCTTTTAATTTGATCCAACTTATTCTTTTTTGCAGACTGTTATTATTACGGCAATTTTATAAAAGCTAAGCTTTCCAATTCTAGAGTTGCCAAAGGATCTACAAAGCGAAACCATGTTTCGATGTCCATTAAACAAAAAGTGGAATTGCTGCAAGAAATGGATAAAGGCATATCTGTCTCAAAATTATGCAAGGAGTATGGAATTGGAAAGTCCATTGTATATGACACAAGAAAGAAGAAAAAGGAACTTTTTGAATTTTTTGTGAAAGCATCTTAAACAACTTACACCGACAGAAATGTTTAATAAAGTAAACAAATAAATATTAAGCATTTTTTTTTTTTTTTTTTTTTTTGTAAATTTTGATACCCTTTAGATCATAATTGTTCTTTATTTCATAAATTACGATTTCATATTTTTAATTGTATAATATCTGCATGCCATCTTACCAGATTTAAATTGATGATCTATTATCCGGAAAAATTCCAAATCCGGAATCGCCGAAGTCCCGACCAGTCCAGATTTTGGACTTTGTACTGTATTTGGTGAGCAAAAGAGGAAATACTTAATATTTGCATTCTCCTTGAACTATTACTAGCTATTTACTATGTTAATTTTCACAATAAATTACTCATTTCTTCCTAATTATCTGGAATTAGTATTTAAAGAAAATTAACCAGGAGGATAGAAGAGCAGCTGAAAGCCACTATTGAAATGATAACTGCCAACCAGAAAGAGGCAGCCGTGAATGACAACAATGTGAAGAACTCCATCGCAGTGAATGCAGTTGTTTTTGGTTTTGGTTTACTTAATTATAGCAAAGCACACTAGGGCTATCTGCCTTAAGGGAAGGGATGCCTTCGTGGAGGACTTTCTAAGGGAAACTAGTTTGTATACACGTTACACATGGGGAAAACCATGAAAACGATTGTGCAGCCAGCCCGTTCGCAGGATTCGAACCTCTTGAATGCAGTCGAAATGAAGACCTTGATAGAACAGAATGGTGCAGAAATGGAGAAATATTGAAAGGAAAACTGTTGGTGCTATGGATGAAAGCGTAGCCAATAGAAGAAAAATTTGAAAAAGAGTCAGAGATAGTAAAATCAGAAATGTTAGGAACTGTAATTGAAGAATTTAAAATGCAAAATCTTCTCCAAATGAAGAAATTGCCAGCATCACTGGAGAAATTTCTGCAGTGAACAAGAGACTCAAGAAGCAAATTCTGGTATAAGAAAAAAAAAAAAAAAATGTCTAGAACTGGCTTCTTCTCTAAATGCATCCCAATTCCAACCACTTTGAATGTACCAGCTTATCCTGCTCTGAATAACATTCTGGTTCAGTAGTCTCATCCAGCATTTAAATTTTTGCCATATCACAGGAAGTCATCATGGATAGTATACAAAACACAAAGATGATTTTGCAAGCAATTCAATGGGATCCCATCACCAAGGTGTTAAATATGGCAGCCTTCTTTCGAGGGAAGGCAGTTGACATCTTACAGACACTTCCAGCTGAAAAATGTTCAGATATTGACACCTTAGTTAATATGCTAGAACTGCAGTTTAGAGAAACATTTCTCAAGGATTATCCTTAACTGCAGCTTAAGACCCAACAACAGATAGCAGGAGAGACCTTCCAAGAATTGGAGACTCACAATGAAAATTTAATGCAGTTAGCATTTCCACACTGTGGTCAAGAAATTAAAAACACACTGAGTGTCTGGTATTTTGTAGATGCTATCAACGATCCTGTAGTACAACAATAATTTCGCATAAAAAACAAAGAAGATCCGAAGAGTGCTCTCATCTATGGAATGAAAGTACAGGTTGCACAGAAAGCCAGCAGTATAGAATTCTAAAGAGAATTAACAGAGCAGAAGATAAGATGCTGACAGTGGTGACACAGCAGACTGAAAAGCTGGAGGCAATGGAAATTCAAGAGTTAGAA